TCATCTGTACGTGCGGCTAACAGCACGCGTGCCTGACACAGCGCTGTGAGCAAGGGGGTCACTGTGTGTGTGATGAGCGAGGGAGGGCACCGACCACCCATGAGGGCTGCACACTCACTGTCCCGGCCTGGGTGGACAGGTACTGGGCGGGTCTTACAGCTGCCCTTCCTCCCTCCCTCCGTCTGTCCTTCCCTTCCTTCCTCCCTTCCTTCTTTCCTTCCTTCCTTCCTTCCTTCCTTCCTTCCTTCCTTCCTTCCTTCCTTCCTTCCTTCCTTCCTTCCCTCCTTCCTTCCTTCCTTTCCTTTCCTCCCTTCCTCCCTCCCTCCCTTCCTTCCTTCCTTCCTTCCTTCCTTCCTTCCTTCCTTCCTTCCTTCCTTTCCTGAATGCCCACTCGGTGTTTGCTGAGCCAGGCGTGGGGCTGGGCGCAGGGCCTGGCTCTCAGACAACTCAGAAGGGAGGGGGGATCGGGAGATGGGCAGGTGAATAGCGCTCCTGGGATTTACTCCAGGCTGATGGGAGGGCTCAGGGGTGCAGGGGGCCGTCCGGGGGTGGGGCAGAGGAGGGCTGAGTCCGTAGAGAAGGGCAGGCTGCGCCTCCTGGGGTAAAGCACAGGGCGCACTCACACACGTCCCTGCCATTAATGATCACACAGACAACCACCGGACAGGACCGGCGCCGGCAGCCGGGGGACAGGGAGCCCCAGCCCCGGCCTCACACCCAGGCGGCCAGACCTTCCGAATCCAAAGAGCACGTGGGAACCCTGCGCAGGAAAGAGCCTCTTGGCCGCAGCGAACGCTGGCGCTCCTCTGACGCAGGGGCTGGGGAGCAGAGGGCCGTGAGAGTAATAGTTAAAATCCTCTTTATTCAGGAGGTGGCTTACATTTACAAGCTGATTATGAAAACATTAACAACACACAGCAACGTTTCCGGTTCTGGGGAGGAACTGGTACTGGAGGGCGGCTAGTTACAAGAACACGTTTTCTGTAAAACCAGGGAGCAGAGACAAGGTGGTAAGCCTGTGATTGGGGAAGGAGGGCGGGGCGCGGGCAGAGGGTCAGAAACGAGAGACATGGGTTTGCCCAGAGGCGGCCGGGCACCCCATTCCACCCCTTCGAGGCTCTCCCATCCGCCCTGCTTCCGGAGGCCTTGGTGGAGGCCAGGTCCCTCCGGTCGCTACTAGGTGGGGGCGCGGGACGGTCTCAGCCCCCCCACCCCAGCGGGGTTCCCTGCACCCAGGCTGAGACCGTCTGAACTGGAGGCAGCGGCCCTGGCAGCTGCTTTCCTCTGAAGAGCTCACACTCATTCAATGACTCACAAGAGGGCGAGAGGGAACCTTAGGGAAATACCAGTTTGGGGATCAGACAGGGGGGTCTCCTGCGGGTTTCCCAGCCCTGGCACCAGGGGCGTTGGGGGCCAGAGAATTCCGTTGTGGGACTGGTCAGCTGTGTCGCTGGCGCCTGCCCACTGGATCCCAGCAGACCCGCCTCCTCGCCTGCAGGCTGTGCAAACCGGAATTCCTGCAGACCTGGCCCTGGGGGATAGTGTCCCTGGTAGAGCTGCACTCCCCCCGCCCGGCAGTTCAGAAACGTTGTGGCTCGGTGCCCTGGGCTCTACACCCCGTCTCCTGCTGGCCCACCCACCCGCCAACCTCCCAGTCCTCCCGGAGACTCATGTCCTCAAGGGCAAAAGGTGGGAGGCCCCGCGCCAGGTTCCCGGGCCCTGGTCAGGCCTCTGGGTCGTGGGGACAGCGTGTGACTCTCGTGTTGGGGGGAAGACGGCTAATGAGACAGATGCTGGTCCCGGGGTGCCGCTCAGATACAGGGAGGGGCTCGATGAGGGAAAGGATGGGGGTTGGGGCAGGAGCAAGTTCAGGCCGGCGCCGTGCACTCCGTGCCTCCCAGGCACCGCCACTGTGCATCCCGGCCCAGGGCCCCCTCTGCCTTTGTTCGGTTTCCTGACAAAAAACGCTAACATTACAGGGACTCAGAACAAACAACGCAAACCCACCGTCCAAAACACATGTGGTGGGCTGTGTGTACCCCGGCCATGCCACCTCGCTCCTGGGAGCCAGGTTTCCTCACACGGGGCAATCCATCCGTCCTCTCCTCGGTCTCTCGGGTCAGGAGGAGGGGGTCCCCCGCACCCCACCCTCCCGGGCCCTCCTCCCGAAGGGAAAGCATGTGCAGAAGGTGGAACCTCGGGTGGAGCGCCTCGCGGGGACCCCCTGGCCTTGCTTACCCTGCTCCCCGGCTCCTTTTCTGCTTGGAGATGAGCAACCCCGTCCCTAGGCTCTGGGGCCCCACTGACCCATCCCCTCCTCCGTCTGTCCCTCTCGCTGAACCACGGGGCAGGGGCCCTGGAGCGGGCGGGGTGAGAGCTGGGCCATCTGGCTCTAGCTGCTCCGTTTGGCCTTGAGCGCTGCTCCTTGGCCGTCCCGTCCCATCAGCCCAGCCCACCTGCTCTGGGGACAAAGGGCCTTTGCCAGGACTTGGCGAAGGGGCAGCTGAAGGTGGCAGAGAACAGGATGCTGGTCTCAGGGCTGGGCTGGTAACTCAGGGTCACTCAGCATGCAGGAGGGGTGCTTGGTATTTAAAATAGTTATAAAAAAAGTAAATTACAAAATACAAAAAACTAACAGCCAAAGGATTTTCCAGGAATGCAGTGGTGTTAGTCATGGCTTCCCATTTCACTTAGAACTGGCCTTTCAACTTCTTGTGTGGTTCGCATGAAGTATTATACTGAAGAGTTCAGAGAACTTCCAGCTCTACTAATAATAAATTATAAAAATAATTATAAAGAGAATATTAACAAGTTGTGGTAAAAGTGATCACACTGAAAGGGTTTTCAGTGTTATAACAACAAAAGAGCTAAATGTAAAAAGCAAAGAAATAACTGCAGTAT